CCTGCTCAGTAAGTCGTAATACAATTGAGTTCTATATGGTCTGAGCTAATCACTACGACAACATGGTTTTGTATAGTCTCCTATTACAATCTGAAGAAACCAGTGCAGGGAAACTGAAGTGAATAACCTTAACCTTCAAATCAGACCCAGGTTACTTTGTAGTCTACCCACCACCTCAGCTGCACTGGACTGTGTGATACTCTTGTCCTCCTCTCTAGCTGCTAGCTGCAAAAAATAATTTATCAATCTATTTTAATCATTTAGATGGTCATTCAGGAGATTTCTCTTGTCTGCCTTTATCCCTTCAACTTTTTCTATAATGAATCAGCCACAGTGACAAATAATTTAATAATCATGCCAGTATTGTTCTGATGTTTAATATATCACAATTTTCACAAAAGTGGAATGACATTATTGATAATTTAGATGATACAACCCCGGAAATCATTGTTATTAAAATCAAACACACAATAAGTTAAGTAAATAAGCTTGGGATTTTCCCCACTTGCCCAGGGATATGTTGAAGAAGGCCTGTTGTACAGAAAGTAATCGAATGTGTGATTGGGTTACAGCTGGAATATAAAACAGATCTGAGGTTGCTATGTAATTATCAGTTGAAAAACAGTAGTGTAACATTTAGTCTATCATTACATAGACTCTTGACACCCTGAGCTCTGACTGACACCCAGTGTTCCTGTTGCTATGAAAACGAAGATAAGGTGCTTGATAAAGTGAGAGAAATACTGCCTTAATATATAATGTGCTGGTCTCACAGATGAAGCCAGAGATGTGTTATGAGTCACTAGTCACGAACAAGTACAAGTCAAGAACATTAAATGTTATAACTACAGCTGTATACTAACATTTATGATGTATCCACAAATCCACATCAATAGTACAATGTCTCTTCTCGCCATCTAACCTCATTTAATACCTACACCAGGAAATCCCTAGCCAGTCAATAATTTAAGAGTCTCTTTCTGCACCCTGATTACATCACATTATATGTCATTGAGCTGACGCTTTTATCCAAAGGGACTTCCATTATTATGATGGAACACATCTTCTAGCTTCCTTTACTTATTAAATACAAGAACAGTGTTGTCTCAATAAAGAAAAGAACAAGAGAAAAAGACAAGAAAATCATCTTGGGTCACCACGATCGTCCCTCCATAGAACTCCAACTAAGGGAAGCATATCCATGCAACATCAATCCTTCCATCCCACTATCAATGAATCAGTCAGTAGCTACTCACCCTGGTGCTGCGGCCGATGTAGGGGTTCTGGACTACACTGCTCATGATAGAGCTTGGTGATGCCCAGAAGAATCAGTAGCAGTATGTTCTCAATCAAGCAGAGCTGGTTCTGGATTGCTTTAAAAAGTATTTGGTTGTTGAGATAATAAGGCTTTCCACTCCCTCTTACTTGGTCACACGGGACACAAAGAGCCCTATCAGCAGCCCTGTCTGCACTGCAGAGGACAGAAAATAACCTACGAGTAAATTATTTATCTTGGTACTAAAACAAGCATCTGCACTAAAAGCTTGTGATCATAACAGCAGGAGGCTTGCTCCAACAGGAATGTGACTTTTTTTTTACCACTTACTATCATATAGGTGCAGATTTTGGTAATCATGCTCCCAATAATGTCAAGGCACGACATCAAAGAAGGAGATGAAATTCATCACATCCTCTTTGGAGAGAAATTAACAATGAATCCCCACATTAGAAATATAAAATAAGGCACACATGAAATAACAACAAACTAAGACAATCAAAGATATACTCTGCCAATGGATACATAGCTTCACATGATCAAATACATATACATATATATATATATATAGCTGAAAATGCACATGAATTCTTAGAATAAAAACACAAGACACATCGCGTCACAGTGTATCAGTGAAGCCTTCAGCCAATCACAGCAGAGTTGTGTCTTCATAGAGATGGCCTTGAGGGGCTGCAGCTGGAGGAGAGCAACTGCACAGTCTGATGTTTTAAGGTCACGTAACACAGTGACGTTTTGCAGCGCTAGTTGAAGTCAGGCAAAATTTCTAACCAGCATGCATTGTGTTAGGAACCAGCATGCATCACATCAGGTTACGTCAGTGCTTAAAGGTCCAGTGTGTAAGATTTAGATGAAAGGGATTTATTGGCAGAAATGTAATGTAGAATAATCCTCATGATGTTTTCACTAGTTCGTTTCATCTAAATTGTATGAATTGTAGTTTTCTTTACCCCAGAAAAGGCCCTTTATATTTAAATACTTTATATTTACATCGAATGGGACCCTCTCTACGGAGGCCGACAACTGAAGGTTACCACAGTTTCTTTTTCATGTTTGGAAGTGGATGATGAGGAGAGGAGTGTTCAGCTGCAACATGCAATTTCAACACTAGATATCACAAAATTCTACACACTGAACCTTTAAGTCAGAGCTACATACAGTCAAACCTAAAATGTGTATTAATGGAAAAATATCCTGTTTTATCATAAGAAGGCCACAAGAACAAAAACAAAGAAAAACATTTAATTGAGTGTAAAGTTCCTCCTGAAGAAGAACCAAAATAACAGCACAGCAAATAAGAGCAAACATTAATCACATTTGAAGGAAGGAAACATGTTTTGTCTGATGATGATCACCTGATATAGATTCTATAGATCTGTGATCTTGGATCTTTATTCTGAATTGGGTCCATTATTACACAGATCAAACCGACAGAACCGAACCAGTAGAAACACAAACACTCACCACTCTGGTTTATTAGCTGACAGGTATGTGTGTGGTATATATTTATTACACTCACATCTTATATATTGCGTGTAGCTCTTGTGGTGTGTGTTATTTTGCAGACAAATTGTACTTGATTCTTGCTGTTCTGGGTTTGTAGCCTCATGGCTGAATGTGCTTATTGTGAGCTGCTTTGAATAAGCATCAGCTCAATTAAATGTAATGCCATGATATGATTAACACTGTATTCTATTTAGCTTTCTATATAGATCCTCTTATAATCATTTAAAAAATATAATTCAGTTTAAATTTATAGATTGGGGAAATCGAAACTGTCTCTGAATTTAATAATCCTGCAGTAAAATTAAAATACTTACAGATGATACAAGTTCACATTCTGCCAGTGTGAAGCGATGATGTTTTGCCTCCTCCTTTGAATTACATTTTTTTCTCCAAGGCTCTGTTCTTTCTATCGTACTAATTCTCACTCACTATTATCCGAGTAACAGTGTATTTTCTCTTTAAGTGACATCACTGCTGTGGCTATAAACATCTGTCTCTCTTCACCTCACTAACAAACACCTCGATGTCAGTGTCAGAGAGTTGCTCTTCTTCTTCTTCTCATCGCTTGATTCAGTGTAGAAAACCAATTGGTCAGCAGGATCATTTAATATTCATGAGGTGCTTTACATTGACCATTTATGGTTAAATGTGGGCGTCTAGAGGACACAATTTGAGGCAGATTCACTGTGATTTATAAATTAAGGTGTGTGTGCACACGGTTTTACAAATCTGAATCTTTTTTTGCGTCGATATTTTTGGCTACGCACTGTTTTATAAATGAGGCCCCAAATGAGCTGACTCTCCCTGATGACCAAACTCCTGCAGGGGGGAGGCCTGCCCAGAGAGAGTCATCACACCAGTGAATCAAAGGGTTTGAGGTCATCACAATCTTGCAGAACCATCTGTTTGTATTCACTGTGTTCGGTTGTTTGTATTTAACTGTATCATGAAAGTGAAATCATATATCTCACACTGCACTCCACACACCATTTCATCACTGTGTCATGCTGCTGTAGTAAACGATGTGCCTCCATTGTGAGGTTGTCCATGTATCAGGAAACTAAGGTTCAGAAACTGGGGTTGGGAATTCAAAGAAGCTTGGTTTGGTTTCTCCTGGAGAAAAGTAAAGCCACGAAAGAACCGTGGGTACTCAGTCTCAACGTCAACCCATCAAGGTGTGTTTATTTACCTGTTACAAACTGGACAATTGACCCTGTAAGTTTTCTACAAGATTTACAAAGCTGAACGTATGAAATTCAGAAGAATCAGCAAAAACGTGTTCTGTTCCATCTTCATCTGCAATGTTTCCCTGTTCACCTTCTTCATCCATGTCGGTGCTGGTATTTTTCTCTGTATCACAAACTACACAGTAATCTTCACTCACTCGACGCCTTCTCTCCGCGGTTGACGTTCCCTCTCTGTGTTGTTACGTCTTTTACGACGTGTCATCTTCTGTGGAGGTTGAACCAAGTAACAAGCCAGTTTTGAGAATGTAAGGAGTAGAAAGTACAGATATTTGTGTTGAAATGTAGGGAGTAAAAGTAAAAAGTCGACAGGAAAATAAATACTCAAGTAAAGTACAGATACATAAAAAATATACTTAAATACAGAAACAAAGTTTTTGTACTTCGTTACTTTCCACCTCTGGTCACGTTCCAGCATTGGTGCTCATCCATGGAAGTTCAGGAACACCATGTGACACTAAAACACGCCCATATCTTAATCCCATCATTTGTGCGTCTTGTTTGTTGTCAGTGTATTTAGAGCTTTGTTAACAGTAAAATATGTGAAGTGTGATGTTATTAACCTTTGACTTTAATATAACACATTCCTGTCATTTTATAAAATAATGTATGAAAGTAATAGCAATCTATCTACTAATTCTACAAATCTGTAGAAGAAGTGCAGTATCCAGTTTGGTGCAATTTGGAGAATGCGGTACATTCAGTATTAATCTAAATTGAATCGGGGCAGTGTGCCTTCCGTCTGTAGACCAAGTTGAACATGTCTTCTTCTATGTCCTCAGATAAACTACTGCATTGGTCAGTGACTGGCAGCCTGCAGCCAATATTACCTAATGTAGTGTAATTTCTGGTCACTATACAATGTCACAACATGAATGTCACTATATACCTTTAATCTGCACTATAATCTAATGTTGGTTGAAGTTAAAGAGAAACATAATTTACTGATGATTACAACAAGTTACAACAGCAATGTCGAATCAAACAATATACTCAGTGTGTTACAAGGAGTGTGATGTGTATGTGTAACTTGTATAAAGAAATAATAATCTTTTAAAAAAAGGCAATCTGACAAAAAGAAAACATAATGGTGTCAAATCAGAGACAAATATCTTTTAAAAAATAGTAAACGATTTGGACAGAATATAATGGTGTAACGAGTAAGAAAAACTGTTTAAAGAAAAAAGAGACATATCATGGCAAGGCAGGGCAACATAGAGGGAGAGTCCCAGCTCCAAGGCCATCCAAAGCAAAAGCAACGCAGGTGTTTGGAGGCTTTCCAGGGGTAAACTCAAGTCCAACGTACCAAAGTAACCCCGGTGCTTGGAGACTTTCCAGGGGGAAGGTTGCAATGGTAGACCCTCCCCAATAACCAATAAGATTAGATCACGACGTCAGACCATAAATGATAGATGAATGATAGACCAGTCAGATTAGTAAGAGGCGTGGCCCTTAAGGATAGATAAAGCAGAGCAACACCACTGTTTGTCAGAGTTTTTCTCTGGTGTGGCTCAGGCTCGCTACTGAATGCTCTCGGGTTTTCTTATCGACAATAAAACTCTGCTGCTTTTAAGTTGACTTCTCCTGCTTTTCATTTCACTGAATTTTTGGACTTTTGGACCATGAGTGGAACTTAGTTTTCACCACAACTCTAACCCTCCTAAACATTTTGATTACTTTTATTTCACTATATTGGACTGACGGAGACATTAATGGGAGTCGCTGGTGCTGATCTTGTCATGGCAACAACATTCATACAATCACTTCCTCTTTAGCTAGTCGTCTTCAAAGTAAAAGCACAATGTTCTGTGCAGATGTGTTGTTCATGCCCCGATGACAAGATTCAATCTAAATCTTGAGTGCCATATTGACTGATGCTTATAACCTCAAGATGCCTTTGAGCAACCCTTATTAAACTCTGTGTCTACTGAACATACACAGAGTCTAAATCTGTGTGTGTAGGGCCACATGCTTTGTGATGATGCTGTGTGATTGGTAGCACTCGTTATTTACACAGAATATAGTATGTAAAGTGACTTTGCTGGGGTTTATAAAGTCTGAAATCAGCTTGTTGCTGCTCACAACTTTAATTTTGGGCACTTGAGCAGCTTTTTTGTGTGGAGCAGAAAAGGGGTTAACCCCAGCATATGGCTGTTTTTCTTTTCATTTTCCAATTTGAGGTAAATTCAATCTAGAAGATCTAAACTTCTCATTCACAGTTACTGTTGAAGGGATGAGATGAGTGCATGCGATTCGTTATTCCTGAAAATCAATCCAATTCTGCTCTGTGTTCAGCCTCTCTTCCCAGCTGAGTCCAGCTGAGCCAGGTTTGCATCAGTTCTTGTGGTGCCTTGAGATTTTGCATTTGTGTGTACACAGTGCAATTATTATGATTGTGGATCACAGATCAGAGATCATAATGGCGGATCCTGTATCTTGCTGGCATCTGATCGTAGTGGTAGACCATGATTAAGGTGGCAGCTGATGGTGGATCATGATGGTGGCAGTGAATCATGGTGATGGATTATAATGGCGTATCCTGATCATGGTGGCAGTTGATCGTGGACTATGACTACAACAAAACTGCTTGATATACAATATGTCTCCTCAGATACTCGACCATTACTGACAATAATTCCTCATTTAATTTACCTTCCATCATACTACAAACAATTTATTCTAACCAATGCTGTAATTACTCTTATTTCTCTGACGTTCTCCATTACACGTGGCATCTATTGCACTTCTGTCTGTCCTGGGAGAGGGATCCCTCACATTTGGCTCTCTCTGAGGTTTCTACATTCGTTTTCGCCCTGTTGAAGGTTCAGTGTGTAGAATTTTGTGATATCTACTGTTGAATTTGCATGTTGCAGCTGAATACCCCTCACTTCACCCTCCCCTTCTAAACATGAAAAATAAACTTCAGTTGTCATAAAAACTCAAAAGGTGTTTAGTTTGTTCTGTAGAGCACACCTGTGTGTATAAGTTTGCCATTCACCCCTTCACAAACATTCATACAGTGCATCTATTAGCAGCAGTTCTATGAGGGTTCAGCATCTTGCCCAAGGACACTTCAGCATGCAGGTGGGGAAACGACAGCTGACCTTCTGGTTGGAGGATGACCGCTCTACCCCTCAGCCACAGCCGCCCTGTGATGCAGATAAACACAAAGCATCTAATCTAATGTTTGCATAGATGTTGATCTCAACCGTAGGTCAGGAAAGTCTGATTTCGTACATTGTCATTTGAATATAAAATATCAGCAACTTAATAAATAATAATGTTAAACAGAAAACTGACTTTAACAATAATTACATAGCATTTACAAGTCAAGGTTTTCAAAACATAGTATTGACAGATAGCAATGACTATATCAAGCAAAGTACTTACAAGATGTCTTTTCTTTAAATATATCACATATATAGGTTAGGGTTTTATATATATATATATATATATATATATATATATATATATATATATATATATATGAGCAAATATATAAGCACATTTCTTGAGTGCATTATTACCTCTGCCTAGGAGGTTATGTTTTGTAAACTTGATTGCTTGTTTGTTTGTTTATTTGGTAACTAGCAGCCTTCCATAAAAACACATTATTTTAAAACTTGTTGGGAAGAAACTGTGTTGATCAGGAAAGAGCCCATTACATTTTGGTGTGGATCTAAATCTGGGGACAATCAGGATTATTTGTTGTCTCTCTTTAACATTATGAGCTGTTTCAGGCCCAACAGTTACCTTAAATCCAAATCAATCAATTACACCAAATAAATCACAATCATATAAATATATAATATAATATATAGAAATGTATATGTATGTATATCTATATATATATAGTCTGAAAAACATGAACCAGTTTTTTTTTTATCCAGATCCCTGGGGAATTGGTGAAAATCCCCTCTGCAAATGTTTGCAGTTTTGAGGTAATCCATCCAGTTGTTTTTATGTATTCCGACTAGCTAACAAATAAACAAATGCAGATAAAAACAAACTAACAAAAAATCGCAGGAGAAAACACAATAATAATAATAACAAACTATTCGTCATACATTGAACTGTCTTCAAACTGTGCTGTTACTGTTCCAGGGATAGATGATATTGAAAAGTTCATTGCACATTTGGGGTGCATTCTTCTGTAGCGTTTCAGAAATTGTTTTTGTTCTGGATCGCTGAGTGGATCTTTCGGAGGTTCTGTCGGACTCTCACAAACTCCATCAACTGGGTTTCTTCTTGTACCTTTTCCTCGAGTTCCTTCTCCTTCTGGGTAAAGAAACAGAGATGTACAGTCACTACATATTCATTTAGAAATGGCAAAACATATAGACAGGTCATATACTATACCAATGCATAACAAGCTAACTTACCATGACTACTTTTCTGTATTTCCTTAGGTTTCCATTATTACCTCCACAGAGGAGGTTATGTTTTTTTCCCATGTCTGTTTGTCTGTTGCTTTATTCTTTAGCAGGATTTCAAAAAAACTACAAACTTAAAGATAAACTTTACAGTATAACATATAACTACAATTAAGGTACTGTTTCACATTTGTTTCCATTGCTTGGCCTTTTTTCTTTTTTGATAACTAAATGTAACTGTAACACAGATTTCCTTGATATCCATATAACATAAGGATATGAACAGTCCTACTTTGAAGCATAGTCCTTGATCCAATACTGAGTTTTCAAATTAAATTAAATGTGTGGATTTAACCATTAAATAAGTTAAAATGGTCCTTAAGCCTGAGTGTGTGGTGGTTGACTAGACTAGAATAGGGACTGCTGTCCTAACCCGTCAACCAATCTTCAGTTGGACAGGACTCTGACCTGTTGCAGTGATTAAGTCTGTTACAGTTTCTGGGTCTCATGCTGTGGTTTTATGACTGTGCTGTGTGAGCTTGCAGTCGAGTCTGACATCATCCACCTCCTTGGGGGGTTTCCCTTGGAGGTTTGCCACCACTGGACCGCCCTCACCTGTCCATCTCCACCTGTTTCCCATCACTGGGTGGCCACCAACCATGAGTCAGCATTTTGCAGCCAAGCCTTTAAAAACCATACTGTAGCATCACCAGGGGCGGCTGTGATTTTGTGTGAGCAGTCTGCCTCTGAACCTCTCATTTATCATGGTAACTGATGATTGTTAACTTGTGGTTGTGCATCATGTCCACTCGTGATTGTTACCTGTTTGAGTAGTTCCTTGTTAATTCGTTGTGAGGCGGCTGTGTCTTGGGTTTGTGGGCTGAAGGCCCATTCACATACACACACATAGATTTTCATTGGTGGGCATCCATATGTATTTTGTTGCTGAGTTATTTATTCCTATTGTTTTGACTGTTAGTGTAGGGCTATAGAAGTTAGCTTTGGTTTAGTTTATTTGATGATTAGACTCTACCCTCAGCCCTCCTCCTTTTGTTTTTCCTTGCCTGGCTTTCTTTGTTGAATTGTTTGTTTCCTTCACTTTTTCCCCACCTGACAAATATGCTTTTTAAGTGCGAAACCACTTGATGATTGCTCAAAGTAAGCGGGTGTACAATCTCAATGTCACTTGATTTGTGAGCATGAAAAAAGGAGAATGAAATGTGTTCAATGTATTGAATGAAGTTTTCTGCTTTTAAATCTCTTGTGTGTTTCATCTTGATATGTCGTTTACACTGCATAGTTTTAATAAATATGCACCAATAGATACACAAGAAGAAATTGTCTTTTTAGTGTGGTTGTCTATTTAGGTCTGCCCTAATGGTGGAAAAGCAGCACTCAATGATACAAGATAAAAAACAATATTTCCCTTTAAATACATTAATACTAGACTAATGAGAATGCTTTGAACATGTAAGGAGTAGAAAGTACAGATATTTATGCTAAAATGTAGGGAGTAAAAGAAAAAAAAATCGTTTTTGAGGGCTAGGTTAGACTCCCTTAGTCTGCCATTACTAACAAATAGTTAAAATCTTACTTTCGCATGGTACATTTTTGGCAGACCCAGGAGCAGACACAGACACATGGGTGAAGATTGGATTTGTAATTAAAGGCAGGCATGTGTGGTATATTTAAAACAAAATATATAATATAATAGAAAATATCATCACAGTTATTGTTGTTCAGTTGAATGAAAAGATGAAAGTATTGTATGCCATTGCTGACAACTTATTATAAACAGGCTCTTTTACCTCAAGTTGCTTCTGCTGACGTCTAAGCAGGACATCCTCCAGAGGAGTCCTGCTCTGTCCCTCCTCTTCCTGCTCACTCTGCACCCTCTTCCTCCTCTCCAGAACCTGTTGAAGTTCTGGTCTTCGGCTCAGTGCCAGACCCCTTAGCCCATAGAGAAAGAGACAGGCCACAAATTTTAATATGGATGAATGGGCTTTATTTATTCCCAAATCAAAATGACTTAGTAATAGTACAGAATAGGGTGCATGCCTCTCAGTATTATCCTTGTATACCTGACACAGTAAAACTTTATTCCATTTTCACTCTGACCTTGTGATCCTAGTTCTTCATGATGGTGATTTAACTTCTCTGATGCAGTGGTCAGGTTTTTTCCAATATTCTTTAAATGTGCTTCTCAATCTATGGCTTTCTTGCTGGCTCCAATACATCTGGTGATGGTGAACTATATAAGTATATAAGTATATAACTATATAAGTGTGTCCACATGCCCGAGATATATATGTGCAACAAGCTTTTGCTATATACAGAATTTCACATGCCCACACTACATTGCGATTTCATAATAATCGGACTGAAATGTTATAACATTTAACCCAGGAGTTATGCTATTTGCGTTGTTTGGTAGGGTAATGTTTCATTGTGTCATTGCTGAACAGTAGTTAGTGACAAATCACTTAGAAACAAACAAACAAAGAATAACGATTGATTTCTGCAAATCAGTGGTGAAATCTTGTGAAAGAACACTATTGTAACACTTGTGTTGATATGAGTATATTATCCGCTGGGAAAATTTGCACACTGTTGTAAATATATTTTTTTGTTGTAATTTTTTTTTTTTGATATCTGTTACATGCCACATCAATTACACTTCTGTAACTTCAACTTGTGAAGCTCTATGAAGCATTGCATTACAATACCTGTTACCTTGAATCCATCAGCTCAATTGCACTATACCGTTTACTGCGGAATGTTGTACATAATTTTTCATCACACAAGAAAATTTTATGTTTCTCTTCTTATAGGTTATATTTCTATTTTTTACTGCATTTGCTTTGTTATATTTTCTTAGATTTATTTATATATATTCCGGCATTCTGTGTGGGCAGCAATGTAAGAATTTCATTGTACAAGGAAATGTGTTCCTTTACTGTGCATATGACAATAAAGCTTTAAAATTGAAATTGAAATTGAAACTGTGATTTGTGAAAATGGGCTATACAAATAATTATAGACATAGTAGTAAATATAAGTAGTTTAAAATGTTTTGCATCTTGTGTTAAGATCAGATAAACAGAAGCATCACAAAGATCCAGTGCTTTCACTGGTACAGTGTTTGCTATCAGGACAAACCAGGTCTATCCAACTATTAACATATCACCTTACACTGCTTCAGGTTCCCATGGACTAAAGGACCGCAGCAGCATGGAGAGCGGGTGTATGATTGCAAGTTTGTGAGAGAATGAACGAGACGTTCATGTATTCTTAATGAGAGCTACTTTTGAAAAGAATGACAGAGGAGAGAGGGGTTTAAAAATGAAAAACAAATTCTTTCACGAAAACGTATTTATGGTAATGGCCCTTTGTTGACGTTAATTCTTGCTTGCAGTTAAATCATGTAAAGGTTCCCTCATTTATATTTCAAAGAGGATGTGACCTCTTTGTGTTGCCCCTGTATGGGACCTACCTTTTGTGAGCAAGTAGCAGTTCCTTGTGAAGCTCATTGTGAGTCCTGAAAGTCTTGATGGAGTTTGAATGACCTGAGCAGGCTTCAGTTTGAACATCATTATCTGATAAAGAAAATCAACATGTCAAAAACATCAACACAGCACTGAATCTTCATAGGACTGGTTTTCAATCGTATTCAAACAGGTCTGAATCCAGTTTCAAATCTGCAAATCAAATCCAAATCCCTCCCTGTGACATTGATGGAGTTGTACATTTTATAGTTGTTTCTCTGACTCTAAACAGTGAAACCAGTCCAACATGAGGAAATTGGTCTCAGAATTTTGCATTGAATTATTTGAGTTATCACACATTTGTATGAACTTACTAAGCATTTCTAAGGAACCCCAGTCCAACTGCGTATTCATGCAGCAGTGTAATGTAAAGAATTTTGCAGATAAAGGTCAAGAGCCTCAGTTAGTGTTCACGTCAAACATCAGAATGGATACAAAATGTGATCAAAGTGAAACACCTTGTTGATGATAGAGGTCAGACAGAGTGATCGGACTGGTTGGAGCTGACAGAGAGTCTAGGGTAACTCAGATAACCACCTGTCTTCAACTGTTTTGAGCAGAGAAGCATCTCAGCTTTGAGTTGGATGGTCTACTACAGTAGAGACCATGGCAGGTTCCACTCATGTCAGCCAAGGACAGTTTCTGAGGCTGCAGTGACACAGACTGGACCAGACAGATGAAAAACATAGATAAATGTGGATTTCTACTAAGGCGCAGATGGTCAGTCTGGAGTCAGCAGCATGAAACCACAGACCCAACCTGCTTTGTGTCATTAGTCCATGGCTGCTGGTGGTGTGATGATGTGAGGAATGTTTCTTGACACACTCTGGGACTGAGCAAAAAGTATTTGTTTTTAATTCCACAGGCTGAGCATTGTTGCTGACCATGTTTATCTCTTTATGACTTGAGTTTTCTAATGGCTTCTTCCAGCATGATAATGCTCCATGTCACAAAGTCATCTCAAACTAGTTTCATAAACATGACAGTGACCTCAGTCTCCAGATGTGAATTCAGTAGAACCTTTGTGATGTGGTAGAACAGGAGATTGGCAGCATGAATGTGCAGCTGACAAATCTACAGAGATGATGTGATGGTGTCAATCGATGACATGTAGAACGAAGAAACTACCCAGTGTTGCTGTGGTATTCGTAATAATGCACCCAGTATGTCATTTTTTTCTTTGCTAATGCCTGTAGTGTCATAGGCAGGGGTGACAGAGACTCATTAATAAAAGAATGTGAATGTATAAAGATTCAATTAGGGGTTTGCTGGCCACAGAGCTTGATGGATCTGTGTGTTTTATAAAGTGAGTAATTTACAATTTCTTATCCAGGTTCTTCTGTTCTTTATGATGAGCTAGCTTGATGAGACATTTTAGCTTTTAACCATATTTTTGAAGGGTAGAGAGGGAAAAACATGATACTCAACTCAGAAGATATTTTTCATTGCAACACACATTGGAGATGAGAGTGTCCTTCACATGTTGAACTGACCTTTTCTGTGATTGTCTGTTGTCTGTGGAGTGTTGTTTATCATTATGCAACAGGAGGCCGGCTGGATGTTTGTGATTCTTGTTGTCAGGGAATGAACCAAAGAGGGATACGATGATTTAGAGCTGAGGTGTATTTAGTTGAACAGAGGGTGGGATGGTTTGTAGGTTGTGGAGGACAGAGGGAAGGGGCCGCAGCGGAGGTGGTTCTCGGTATATGAAAAGGCTGGATGGATGGCGAAACCTGAGGACCGTGAGTGGAGCCCCTGCTTTTTCTGCATGCTGATGACAGAGTCAGCATCACGACAAGAGAGATTGGAATTAAAGAGAAAGACAGACAGAGACTATACACAGTTCACTTATGTAGAGATATATAATTTAACCTGTCAGTGAGCAGGTGTATATGTGCATGACTCGATTCAGAGCAGATAAGTAGTGATACAAAGATTACATTTCAAAATTAACATCTAAGTCAGTGAGGGAGAAAATAAGTGCAGTGGGATGACAGAAGTAGAAAATATAGAAGCTGATGAAAGGCTCGCTGCCCAACACACACACACACACTCGAACATACTCGAAGTTGCATGAATTAGCTAACAGCGCTTAAGTTGCTATGTTTGTTTTTTCTGTGGTGTAAAGGAGAATTACAGTCATAAACCACTGACAAGGATAAATATTCTAAAGTATGTGGATATAATATAACACATGTAGAACACTAAATTTACTGTTACAAAAAGTAAAAATATACACACTAAGCATTTCACATGACTTATTACATCCTGATCATTCTATGCGAGAATGATCCTCCTAAATATTCTGTGTCTGAAGTGGTAGTGTGTGAGAGTAAGAGTGGTGAGAAACAGTAGCAACCTGATGCATGTGGGCCTACACTTCAGATAATGAAGTGTAATCTAAAGGAAAATAATAACAAGCTTAAGTCCTACCTGAGGTCTACTGGTCCTTCATGTGAAGCTGTTGTCAGAGAACATTAGCCATCGTGTGGAGCTGACACACTGATACTGTGGAGCGTAATGTTACCTGAGAGCCCTGAATGTGGAACTCGGTCACTGTCTCCCTGTGGTCAGTCACACAGACACAGTGTTTGACAAAATACTATTATACCAACAATAGTGCTTTTGTCTGTTTCTATTTCATATGATGTCATTGGAAACTCTGCAAAACACATTGCTTCTTATGTGGGCAAAACCAGATTGTTATTTAATAGCTATCCCAATTTTACATATTACATATAAAGTCTGCTTCTATTTATGTTAACATATTTTAGCTCTATTTTAACATATGTCAATTATAACTCATTATGTTAATGTTCCTTACCTATTTACTTTCGGTATTATAGGGGAATTGTATACATTACTTACAACTCATCATTACCATAAAGCCTCAGAGGAGCTTTGTCATGCAGAAAATAACTAATGATGTTGTAATTGTGGTGATACAGTTAGCACTGTCATGAGGGGTTTTGGGTTTAAACCCAGGCTCAGGTCTGTGTGTAGTTTGCAAGTACTACCTGTGTCTGTGTGGGTTTTATCCAGGTGCTCTTGCTTCCTCCCACTGTCCAAAGACATGTAGCTTAGGTTAGTTAATGGGAACTTTAGCTGGGTTTAGACCGTCGTGAGACAGGTTAGTTTTACCCTACTGATGATGTGTGCAATAGTAATCCTGCTCAGTACGAGAGGAACCGCAGGTTCAGACATTTGGTGTATGTGCTTGGCTGAGGAGCCAATGGTGCGAAGCTACCATCTGTGGGATTATGACTGAACGCCTCTAAGTCAGAATCCCGCATAGATAATGATACCTTAGCGCAGCAGATCTTCGGTTGGCCCCAGATAGCAGGCTCATGCTGGTGAGTAGAGCCATTCGTGAAAGGGCTGGGGCACAGCCCGAGAATGGTCGCCCCTCTCCTTGCACCACATGTTTGTGAAGAACCTGGTACTAAATGACTTGCAGTCAAGCTTGGGTCAGGGTTTTGTGCGTAGCTGAGCAGCTCTCTTTGCGATCTATTGAAAATTAGCCCTCGATCCAAGCTTTCTTGGGCTTGGGGTAGGTTGTCCTCTAACCAGAAGGTCATCAAGACTAGAAAAGTGCTAAATAAATACAGACCACTTACCAAACAGACCAGAAAATCAAATCCTACATGTGAATATGCAGAATCTGTATAGGTGAGGACCAGACAGGACAAGATTTGGTTACTGATTCTAGTTTGACCAATCATGGTTGAGCAGGCTTTGGTTGTATGCAGAGCAAAAGAGTTGGTACACATTGACCATAGTGCTTTTTAAATTAATAGCTGTTCATAAACATTAGACAAAATGTCACCTGTTTTATTAAGGTGCAGTATTATTGATGGACTAGCTTGGTTTCCTTATGAAGAGAGTCATAAGACAAATGTATGATTTGTAGTTCAAAAATTTGTGTTATGTTAAAGAAGTGGTGCACATTGAAAGCCCCTTCAAGGAGTTTTTAACTGCATACTGCAAACTGATTTTAATATTGCTGCCTCTTCATGACAGGGTCAGGCTACAACAGCAAATGAGACAATCAAATGAGTGTCAGTTTGGTTTACCCACGAAATCAGAGCAACGACAGTCTGTTCACAAAAGCCTATGTTGACATTATCGGCGGCAGAGGGTTAAGTATTACACTTCTTTTATCCTCATGAAGAATGAGAAATGCGTCTAATTGAGACCAAGCTGAATAACAATATCCTAGACACAGCATAACTTCAGGTTTACTTCAGGGTTTCAGTCCTACCAAGCTCGTTCACTTCTTATGCTGAACGTCTAACCTGCTCTGGAGCAGGATAAATTGGAGATAAGAGATTCATTCAATTCGATTCAATTCAATTTTATTTGTATTGTGCAAAATCATAATATAAATTATCTCCAGGCACTTTACAGAGAAGGTCAACCCATAAAAAATCTCCAACCCACCAAAAGGTTTTAGGAGAGTGGACAGGAGTGGAAACACTACCTTGTATCCACAGAGGCGCCAAAGTCAACTAAAATGAAAGGTTCCTTGAAGGGCACTCTGACAATTCATGGCCGAAGTTTCTGATCACCAACAAATTCAGTGGTAAATGGTCTGTATCTATATAGTGCTTTTCTAGTCTTAATGACCACTCAAACTCTTTACAGTAGTTTTCACCCGTCCACCTATTCACTCATACATTGCATGCACAGCTGTCAATTTGGGGTTCAGCATCTTGACCAAGGACATGTCACATGTAGTGGGGGAGATGGGGATCAGTTTATGTGTGTGTCATGTTTTCTCTTTGATGCTGTTAACAATAAGACACTGATGAAACACACAAGACATTTTATTGAAAATCAAACATAAGCTGCATTAGAACATATTCTCTTTTGTTATTAGCAAACAAGACAGTACAACCTTACAAACTAACAAAAAACAAGGAAGGAGAGTGGAAATTAAATCAAACCATAGCAGGAAAAACTGATTGTATATGTTAAAAAAAAGCCAACGTGATAATGTGTTACAGCCCAGAGACTACTCAGTCCTGCCAGCTCACTTTTGAAATTGTCTTATTCAGCACAGTTCACAGTTGACTTTCCAGCAGTGAGCTTGGAAGGCACTGCAACAACATGAGAGTGTACATTTATTTTGAATTCCTAAACTTTCATAGCAACTCTCAGACCAAGTGGAAACATGCAAGAACTGCAGCAGAAACTCTTATCCATGACATGAATGGGAGGATGGGATGTGTAACAACAGAATCAACATTAAATACTGCCAACAGCTTTCTTAACATAAAAAGATAAAATATTTTATAGGTCATATCATTTTATTTCCATTCACATTTTTGCTGCTGTAGCATGAGAAGCCCCATTACAGTAGTTTCAACATTTGGCACTTATCTGGACATAACAGAATGAAAGATTTGGAGAATTCAGTAGATGACACAGTGAGTGTACTCAACTCCAACTCATGGATTTCCATCAGTAATAAGGGAATGTTCAGTGGAATGAAATTGTAAATAATTAAGAAGATTGTTCCCTCTTAAACCTCCATAACATAATACAGTGTCAATAGTTCAATGAATCAATGAATGATTTGCATATTTAAACAGGGCTTATCTTTTAACCCCCAAAATAACAAAATGGAAATGATTATGTTTGTTCTGATAATTTGGGAATATTAGAACAAAAAACGTCAATATAGTAACGCATATACTACAGCTAACATTGTCGTGTTATAACAGGAAATAGCTTTGGGGACATATCAAAACCAAAAACAATGAGCCTTACTATAAAAATAATTAACACCAGGAGATACATATGACAGATCTGACAATACCCACAGTTACAACTACTCACTGACTGTCCTCCACTTTGTTGACCAACACAAATCACATTTGGGTTTTGCTAGAATGTTTAAACAGTAAACTAGAAGGAGTTTCAAATAAACTTTTCATCCAAGTAAAAGATACATAGAATTTTTCATAGAGTAAAGAAAAAAATTAGATACCTTTCATTTATTAAGATCATTTCAGCCACAATATGCTGTGAAATCCTGGCATGCATCAACAGACTATCAATAACTATACTAAAGGCTCTTGCATATTATTTGAAGTAGTACTAACCAAACATTTGTCCCCAATACGTTTACAACGTGGCTCAAAAGCAAAAATAACACATCTCTCCTATAAAAGATTTTAAATCTGCCTGTGCCATCATACAAAAATTAGAGATCTCAGATTTAGATTATATTACGGGATAATCCTGAAGATCATGTAAAAAGTCATCAACTACCCATTGAATACACTTTGCCTTTGTTTTATAACATAATATTGGTCATAAAGGTTGGGTACAGCATTCATAAGAATATACTTCTGATACATAAGGTGCCAATGTATAATAATATGTGAAGTGTATCACTCGGAAGCTTTTCATTTAGTTGCTTGGACTCACTCATGTGGATACAACATTTTGATCAGTTCAATACAATATGTCACTTAAACCAATACTATATGCTATCAATACAAAACTACTGACAGGAAATTAACGTATGGTTGCACTGGTCCATTAACTCATCAACTAACAAGAAGCTAATTCAGTTACAGCCACAAACCAAACACTGTTTAAGTTTAAAATATTAAAAACAACATGACGAGTCGGATCTGTGTGACCTGTTCATTTGTCTATTTGTTCTCACTGTCTGTAAACTTAAAATGGAGTTTTTGAAAATGTGCACCCACTAGTGACCAACAGGTGTAATTATGCCATTTAATTGTGAAAGATGAGAGTATGTTAAAACATCACATACTATTCCCTGATTATCTTTCAAATAAATGGCAACATATAATCTGACTATATAGAGTACCAGTTATTATACTGATTATCTTGGGGTTGCTGTCTGTGATCCTCCACACGATCTTAAGGATTAACACCATGTTTTAAAGACAGGGACTTTTAATCTTGGATTAAAGTTAACATTTACATCAAGTTTAATCCAAAATTTCTTGATAAAGACACTTACATCAAATGATCAAGTAAGTGCAAAATGCGCAACTTTGTTAAAATGATTTACCTGGATACAGAAAATACACAAGGATCTCACAGAGTAAGGGCCGCAGGAATGGGGCTGATTAGGAAAAGGCTGGTTTCAACTGATGATCGAGGATTTCACATTAGTTATGATTTTACAATGAAAATGTAAAGCAGTGTAAGTGGCACTAGACTAACTGCTATAATGGCACATGTGATATTGTGTGTTAAACCTCCAGGTTCATCAGGTGAGACATACATACAGTAGGAACAGTTTTCAGAAAATAAAAAGCCTGGGCCTTATTCGCAAAGTTTGGATAATTCCTTTCAGTTATGGAAACATTTTACTCAACTCAGGAGATTGAGATCCTCCAGACATTTTCCAGAGAGTATGTGTGAACGCAAACGATTGAAAGCCTCCGGACTTCGTGTAGACTTCCTATGGCCGTTCCCCTAGCATTAAGTCTGCAGACAGTCTGAATGAGCCGAGGTGAGAACACAACAGGAGATCCACCACAGGATTCACTGCAAGTGAGTGTGTGTAAAATGAAAACGGACATCTAAGGATGTAAAGGCAGAGCCATACACGTAAAAGACACAAAGATGTCAAGAGAGCTTTTGGCGATAAGTGCCGATGCCGGAGTTGATGTACTGTAAACGAAAACATGTGATCTCCACAGCATTACACCCTGCCTCTTATGCACCACCCCTCAAGGAAGGTGTCTGAGTGGAGAATCTCCTGTTGTGCTATTCATGTGTAAACGGCAAACTGAGGAGAAAGTCCAGACCCACTTCTCCAGATACGCTCAGAAGGTCATGTCCGAAAACGGCTTTAGTGACTTTCATTTTTGCTGTGGGTGCACAAGTCCAAACCACTCAACTATCGATCAGGAAATGACAACTAAAGGTAATGCAGATGAACATATTGGTATCTACCACGTGGACTCTCAGATAACAATTGAATTGAAAATTATCTGATGGCTCATGTGGTTGGAGTGAACTCCAAATTAAAGCACTACTCCGCAGTCAATACATCCCCTGATGTCAGCAATGAAGTTGGTGAATAAAATGACAAAGCTGAAAGGAACAATGACCAAAACTAGGAGAGACCAGGAACCAAGAAACATAATTGTATTATAGGCTGTCTGTACTTCCCAGGTTTCATGCAAATCTTGATGCTCAAGAATGTCCATCACCAACTACACTCCTCAAACCACAACAACAAAAATCTAGTCAATACCCACCAACCGCATTGTACAAAAATACAGAGCTGACACTGAAACTTCAGAGCTCAGCTATTTGTTCAACATGTGACACTAATTGTGACAAGCTGATTATGAGACTGCAAAGTGTCACTGTGGATTTAGTATGAATTCTTTAATGAGTAAAGTCAATCAAATATAGTTAAAGCAAGCTAACACTGTAGTCAAGACAGTGCAATAAGTGCATTCATTACCAGTCTATGCAAATACTAGGAACGAGTCACTGAGTCATTTCAACTACAGTTTAGGATTCATCTAAGAGCCATCTGTCCAAACACAGCAGGTACTGGGAGGTGTGTTGGTGTGTGCTTGTCGTTTCAGGTACAGGGAAGACTGTCAAACTAGAACAGGCTGATTTTAGCAACAGTTTGAAGGTTTGTTAAATGCCAACACACTGCACAGCTGTTTATGACTCTATGAGACCAGATTTTTCTACTCTGGAAAGTAATCATTTGTTTTGCTGAAGCCCTCTGGGTCAGCAGCCCCACAGTGCCAGCACAGTGAGCCACAGTAGATATTTGGGTAAAAATAGATTCTTTGAAATTGCAGACGCTATGCCCAATGACAAGATACTGTGAGAACCATTCATTTAGATCAGCAAAGACTACTCTACTGACAATCCTGCTATAGCTGCACTAAACTTTTATAAGTATTGGAAGGTGTGACCGAGCTAGAAGGCTAAATATACAGATGAATCATTGATCTATTACCTGCATAAGCATAGACAGTGGTGATTTTTTCAACGTGTACCTAGTCCATTGGATTTGACTATTGATAAACATATATGGGATTTTGAGCTGACTCAGGACTACCACTGTCTGACATACATGGGGCATTCAAAAACACTCATTGACGTTAGTGCAGCACAGAGTGAAAGGTCCTGAGATGAGAGAAGGGTGGTCACTTGAAGGCTGACTGTAGTTCTTTGAAAGCCTCTCGTCTTTGTTTCTGCTCATCAGCCTGCTTCTTCTTCTCCTCCTGCTCCTGGCGGATCTCTGCCTCAAACCGGCTGGACTCATTGATGGCCTGGACCTGTTCAACAGAGAGAGACACACAGTGGTCAGGCATAGAAGTGCAGCAAGGAGGGTGGAAGTAATGAGTTCTATTTGCTCTCGTAAACAAAGTACTTGTACATGGACTGGATTGGTTATATTTCACAGTGACTTGATATACCAACTCACTGTTTATATACCACAGGACAAAGTTAATATTCCACCTGACAATGGATGTTCATTAATAACTCATGTAACCATTAACTGACAATGACAATGCATCACCCAAAGCTGGCAGATGTAGAGAGCCACTATCTCTACATTCTGTTACCTGTTATTCTCCACCACAGGTCTCACAGTTACGCACAGTTTACTCTTGGGTACACAACTACAGCAGGTGTTATGCTGAGGTCTGCCTGCTTGTCAAGGACAGAAAAAACTTAATGGATCGTTTGACCGCCCCGACAGATTTCTCATGACGTTGCTGATGATCAGTCCGACTGTGAGAGACAGGTCATGTGTTTGTAAGACAGATGAGCACACAGATCTATAATCAAGCAATGCGACAATAAACCAGCTGACAATTTATACAATATTTTATAGCACTAAAATGGGGTGATTTTTTGCGATCCATATGTGCTAATATGCCAAAGGACATTGTGCAAAAGTTGATATTTTAATGAGTTTTCTACTTAACTGCTAACATGTAATGAGTTATTTAACAAGGAAATTAGGCACTAGAAAACTAAGAACGATCATTCACTTTGTTTCACACAATGCAGGAGAAAATGATTCAGTGACAAGATAAGCACATGGGCTAACACAATTTGAACTTTTTGAGGTACTGTGGCTCTGACTGACCTTATCTCCCTTAATATACTGTAGGCCACAGAGATATTGTTCTGATGTCAATTCAAAGCTCTTCACATGATGCTATCCCTAATATACAAGATAACAGCATTATATTATTATCACATCAAACATTCCTCACAATGTTAAACAGGAGGTAGGGCACATTCAAAATACTAATGTACTTTATTGATGGGGTCCTCATTATTAATATCAGCATTTCTGTTAATGCCACACAGAATTTCCATCCTGCACAATACATCAGTCAGAATAACCCTCAAGAGAGATTTGATGCCTGAAAACATTTTTCCCCATTTTCATTTCATTAAATTGTTCTCCAATCATATGTTAATCAGGGTCAGTTTTTTCTCTCTTGTTTTTGTATTGTATATTCCTCCTTTTGCCTTTAAAAGTAGTTTGAGATAATTATTTTGAAATAACTGATGTAACCTTTCATCCCTTCATAATCATATTCAGTTTCTGGATAAAAGACAGCATGTCCTGGATTTGTAAATGGTTGTTATAGACTCACATCTGTGTCACTACGATTTGAAATGTAGTGATTGTTAGAGGTGGGTGGGTGGGCGGTGATGCTGCTGGAGTGCGGGTGACATTTTTTACCCCTCTCTCAAATTACAATGGCTTGCATGTCTCAAAGTAACTGATCTTTTGGATGTGTAATTTTGTATGTTACATATTATTATGTATGTTAAATATTTTGTGTATTGACTATAATGAAACTTTATCTGTGTTCATTTTATACACTTTGGAGTCAACTTACTTTAGCTTCAAAGAAGGTCTTGGCTCCTTTGACCCCCTCTGCAGAGACATCGATTTCAGAGAGGCGAGCAAGGTCACTGAGGCCGCTGTCCTCTGACAGCTCTCCTGCTGCTGCCTTCCTAAAGATCAGCAGGAACTAAAGACGACAGGAAAAGCAGAGGAACACGAATATAAGAAAGATGGAATATCACATCATCTCACTAATTTTAATCTGGTTTCCCCTTTTCACCTCTCTGAAGCTGAGTTTGTTGTCCAGGTCCTCATCCACTTCCTTTATCATATTCTTTAAGCCAATGTGTGTCTGGGGAGCACCAAGCTTCTCCATCATCAACTTCAGCTCCATTAGGTCAATGTAGTTGTCTTTCCCAGCATCATACCTTGATAGAATCAAACAGAAACATGCTTTGTTACAGTTGACAACAGATCTGAAAGAAGATTCACATCCTATGAACAAATGCGGATCCACTTTTGAGCCCTGCAGATAATCGGTTTTAACTGGTTTGATAGATGTGTGTGTAGTCTGTTTCCCAATTGTGTCCCACCTATATATTTGTATTCTGAGACCCCACTAGAGCAGCTTTGCATGCCTCACAGTTTTAAAAACTCCTTATTTATTTCTTACTGCCTATTGTGCAGCTGCTCAGTTGAGTCTCCTATTGAAATAGGCAATATTAGCTCAGGCCTCCTTAAAAAGTAATTTTCATTCTTACTGTTTGCACACCACCCTTAAAAAAAATCAATTGTTTTTGCATGATAATCCATGATTTCATGTAGCATATAGCAGTGTTACTGAATTTAACCACTCCTCAAATATCACAGCATCCTGGCAGGACTGTCTACAGACCACAGCTAGCAGCCTGAAGCAGTGTGCTTTTCATTTATACGTGAAATAATGCAAGCATCCTAACTTTTCAGTTTGAAATGACATTGATTCACCTGCATTAGCATATACACTCACTGGCCACTTTATTAGGTACACCTTGCTAGTACTGGGTTAGACCCCCTTTTGCCTTCAGAACTGCTTTAATTCTTCGTAGCATAGATTCAACAAGGTGTTTGAAACATCCCTCCGAGATTTTGGTCCTATTGACATGATAGCATCACGCAGTTGCTGCAGATTTGTCGACTTTACATACATGATGCAAATCTCCCGTTCCACCAAATCCCAAAGGTGCTCTATTGGATTGAGATCTGGTGACCGTGGAGGCCATTGTAGTACAGTGAACTCATTGTCATGTTCAAGAAACTAGTTTGAGATAATGTGAGCTTTGTGACATGGTGCATTATCCTGCTGGAAGTAGCCATCAGAAGGTGGGTACACTGTGGTCACAAAGGGATGGACATGGTCAGCAACAATACTCAGGTAGGCTGTGGTGTACCATCACACCACCACCAGCAGCCTGAACCTTTGATACAAGGCAGGATGGATCCATGCTTTCATGTTGTTTACGCCAAATTCTGACCCTACATCTGAACGTCGCAGGTGAAATCGAGACTCATCAGACCAGGCAACATTTTTCCAATCTTCTATTGTCCAATTTTGTGAGCCTGTGTGAACTGTAGCCTCAGTATCCTGTTCTTAGCTGACAGGAGTGGCACCTGTTGTGGTCTTCTGCTACTGTAGCCCATCTACTTCAAGGTTCGGAGATAGTATTCTGCATACCTTGGTTGAAACAAGTGGTTATTTGAGTTACTGTTGCCTTTCTATCATCTCGAACCACTCTGCCCATTCTCCTCTGACCTCTGACATCAACAAAGCATTTTCGTCCACACAACTGCCTCTCACTGGATATTTTCTCTTTTTCTGACCATTCTGTGTAAACCCTAGAGATGGTTGTGGGTGAAAATCCCAATAGATGAGCAGTTTTTGAAATACTCAGACCAGCCTGTCTGGCACCAACAACCATGCCACATTCAAAGTCACTTAAATCCCCTTTCTTCCCCATTCTGATGCTCGGTTTGAACTTCAGCAAGTCGTCTTCACCATGTCTACATGTCTAAATGCATTGAGTTGCTGCCATGTGATTAGCTGTTTAGCTATTTGTGTTAACAAGCAATTGAACAGGTGTGCCTAGTAAAGTGGCCGGTTAGTGTATGTTATTGGGATGTTATAGGTTTGTCACTTTAGTAAGTGCAAACAATAGCATTGGTTTATTTAAGATCTCAACAATGTTATTACAATGAGATCCCTGGCAAAACGTTTTGTAGTGTCTGTTTACATTGACGACTTGAAGTGCTGTCCCAAGTTTTAAGGGAACATTTCAATCATTATCCCTAGTGAATCCGTTTCAAGGAGCAAAACCCTTGAAAACAAGAGGTAGGGAGAAGGGGTGAAATGGGATTTGGCCAAAGTCTGTCACTGCTGTAATTAAAGGAAAATGAAAGTGTTTGCTCTGAGCAGCAGCAGTCACATCACAGTGTACCAGAGTCTTATCACATGATAAGAGAGCTGACTGACAAGGATGATGAGGATTTGGTTATCAAAACATTGGAATTTTGAGAGTGAGAGAGACAAAAAGAGAGAGAAAGAAGTGCAGAGCACTGTAGACTTGATGATGTGTGATAGAGAAAGTTCTGCTAATAGATGCACTGTTTGAATATGTGAGTTAAACTGTACTTTAAGTGGTGATTTGAGTGGTCATCAACACTAGAAAAGATCTAAAAAAAAATAGGCCATTTACAATTTAAAATGAAGCAGCACAAACACTTAACGATATTTTGAGAAGCAGCTATCAGTCTGGGTCTTTAAACACTGTACATAAGTTAAGGTTCAGCAATAGCGTTAAGCTGCTCACACAGTGAAATCTACTGTTACAGATCTCTCTCAGTAAAAGATGTACAGACAACGATCCAACATATATTTTCTTTGGTTAAATGTCTGGGGAATCGGTTTATTACTCATTGGGACATTTCCACACCATGGCATCCGTAGTGTGGATTATCAAAAAGAGAAAAGTGTGGCAGAACTAAAATCCGGATAACATTCAAAACAGAGGCTGGGAAGTATATAGCCCCATATTTGAATCTAGAATATAGGTTTAATTTGTATTCCTTATTCTTTCCATTTACTGATTTATAGTTAGTATTTAGTTCATTTCATTAGATCCAACCATACTGCATCTTTGTGACTGGAGAAGATTAGTTGGGTATGACATTGTAGTCGACACAGGCAGTCTAATTATCAATCCATTTATTGATTCATTTAATGATTGGTTGCACAGCTCCTTCCTTGCACTTTGTACTAAAAAGATCCCATGATGAACAGTCTTTTCAAATGTGAAATGCTTTAAGTTAAATGCTCAAACCATACAAGTCTGCTTGGGGCTGAACCCACTGAAGAGTCTGTACAAAAAGTATGTGCAAGGAAGCTGTGCATTTAAAATGCCTGGACAGGCCTGGACATGACAGGAACCTGAAAAATCTGGGCAGAGCATCAAGTAGAAACTTCCTGGACATGGAAAAAGTTTTGTCTCATGAAAAGCAAAGCGCTTCAGATAGAAATAAATTCCAACACCAAAAGACAGAACAGAATGAACAGAAGGCTCAGTCACAGAAAGATATTACCACGTATAGTTAAGTTGTCAGTAACAACTAAATGTATCCAGTTAGATATCTGTGCAGATATCACTATAAATTCAATGAAGTATTTGAACATTGCATGGCATAAATTTAATACATGTGCAATGAACCACAGCCATCTTCCTCCTCTCATCATTCAGTTCCAGAGCCTCCATCAAAATCTCCACCACCACATTCCCCCTCATCTGAGGACAGCATGAGGACTGGGACTTCAGCAGTTAACGTTTAGCAAACATGAAAATTTGTCGAACTTACCGGTGACTTAAACTGAGACCCCCATTTAACGTTTGATATTGTTTAGTGCAACTGTAGCGTATGGCTTTAATTAGCAAGCTAAATCAATAACTAGAAATGCATAGATTGGCAGTAACCACCTTGGCCCCAAGATATGAAACCAAAGTAGCAGATGCAGTTAGGACCAGACTACAGGACCCCGGCCCAGCAGATGGAAGAGACTTCCGGTTACCGTGATGGTGACGCATCTGATAAAGAAGACAGTCCAGCTGCAATACTAACACGGGTAAAAATATATACAGACATCCTGTTTTTCCCCTTATAATTTTTATTCCTTAATACTCTAATATTTTTTGTTGAGGCAGCAGATAAAGAAGTCATCCAGTTATTTTGAGGTTCCAGTACAATTCTGTCTTTTATACATTATTTATTATTATTACGTTAACAGACAACTTTGAGTTGTGGAACATATATTATATTTTTAATGTTGTAAAACTGTGTTGAGTGGGAAATTGAAACATAAAACTAAAGCGTTGATACAGACAAAGTTTAACCAGAATGTGGTAAATACTGTAGGTTTATATTTTTTAGGCCATTAATCTGCTTGTGACTTGCAAAGCATTCGTCTTCTAATCTGAAGGGTTCTAGTTCAATTCCAGTATCGTATCGGTATTGGTATCGAAAGTATTGAAGGTTTTTGAATGATACCCTGCCCTACAAACCTCATCTACTGTCGAAGAAGAGCTAAAAAGATGAAGTGGTTGGCGTCATCAATTTCAACTTTCACAGCACCTACCACCCACAAAGGTTGATTTCTGCTACAAGGCTTCGTGCATTTCCTGTGTTTCAGCTTCACTTCAGCTATCTCAGTTGCCAGTAATGAAATCCATCTAAGGGCTTCAACAGTTAGCAGTTTTATATCACATCTTCTAAAGAAGAAGCTTCCCAAAATATTAGAATTGCATATAAGTGTAGAAATCAGACTATTACACCACAGCCACTTCTCCCCAGAAGTGACTCAGACTACACCATTTAAAAAGGCCGATGGCTCGTTGCTAATGACATCCTGTATGTTGCTTGCCCTCACTCTGAAGCACCTTATCTTGTGACTGCTATGACACAAATAGATGGTGGAGAGGTTTTATAAATAGCTCTAAAATGACACTGAATAAACCTTTAAAAAGGTTGAGAGATTTCCTAATTAATACTAAAAGTTGGTGAAGTTTACCTTTCACTCATGCACAACGCAGCAGGAGATTTTCTGCTCCGATGTGTTCATAAAAACAACGAATACTCGGGAGAATGTGTGTTCTCATATCGGCCTCTTTCGACTTTCTGCAGACTTCATTGTAGGGGGTCAGGTGTAAGTCTGCAGAAACTCCAGAGGCCCTCAGACATTTGCAGTTACATATACAAATCCTCAGGAGTAACATCTGAGAATCTCAGAGTTTAGTGTCTGAGCAGCTAAAGTGTCCTTTTACACTTGTTATCAATGTCTTTCCAGATTTCTAACTCAAACTCCTACAGATCAAACAATAGAGAAAATGAGACACAGTATTACCACACAAATATGTGGTAATTTCAGATCTTCCTTTGACTTAACTTTATGTACTGTCATCCTGGGTTAGAGACCCCCCCCCCAAAAAACAGTAACAATAAATTAACAATAGACCTAAACCATAAACATTTCAACAAGTCAACAACCTCAGACTTTTTGTAAAATTGTGGCATTGGATTTGCTAATTAACTGATAACAACCCAAAACAGCAGTGATTCAAATATTTGCCTCACTTGTCATTAAAACTAGATTAATACTTACACTGGAAAGGCAATATATCACTTTTTTACTACAGAAAGAGGGTTAATGAAGAGATGTCAATTCATCATAATTGTTAATCTATTAATCACATCAGCTCCTGGACTGAGACCTGAGAAAAGTCTGTATGTGACTGGTGTAATGTCCCCACCCTTCCATCTGCCATGCTCCAGATAGCCACACCTTCACATATACTACAGCTGCAAATACTCTTCATTTCCAATGGGATCTATTACCTTAGAAGACCTGTCATATGTTGAGTTGCTGATCTTTATGATTACTCGCTCAGCCTTATTTCCAGATGTAGTCTTTGTCTTTTTCTGTGGTCTACAAACTGTTGTTGATATAAAGACACAATGCAACAATGTGAGTAGTTCATTCAGCTGTGACCCACATAAGCGACGTGCCAACTCGACTTCCTTATATGTGCAATCTCATCGTGACTTCCCTCACTGATTCATGTCACGTCACATGGGACTAGTGGCCTGGAGGCATGATTAACACATGTAATATGTTGGTCACATGTTGGACCTTGGTAACATGTTGAGAATTCCTTTACACTCACATTTTGAACATCTTCTCCATGTCCTTGATCTGCTTTCGGGAGAACTCCTTGAACTCGGTGTAGGGGTTGAACACCTTCATGCTGGGCTGACAGTGCTCCCCCTGCCCCTCGTTCAGCTCTCCTCTCCGGGACAATTTGGCGCCCAGCTCCGAGTCCGCGTTGGCGGTGCTCGGCTTCTCCTCGGAGCCGTTCTGGTGTCCGGGCGGGTCCAGGGCCACAGGGTCCTCGGCCCCCTCTTCTATCTGAAGCCGTCGGCTGAGCTTCGACGACAGCTCGTCCGTGGCCATTTTCGAAACAGCGGAGTGGCTCAGTGACTACAGAGGGCGAGGACAGCGGCGAGTCTCTCTAATAGCTTTAAAATGGTGTTTGAGGAAAATGTCGCGCTGCTCGCGGACGGTGCGTGTGTTTCTGCTGCGCTCGGGGATCAACACGGCTCAGGCTCCAGGATGTTGTGTCGCTGCTCATCAGCGACGCAGCTTTGCGTGATCGTGTCACGCACACACCGCACCTTTTAAAGAGACACCGCACTGACTGCGAGGTTTCTCTCGTCATTCAGAAAGTCCTGCGATTCATATAAACACGTGTTAGCAAGACAAGGCAGTTTCATTTATGTATTCATGTACAGAGACATGAAAACAACACGGACTAAATTAAAAGAAAAGCTTCAGCCGCACAATCAAAAAACAACAATAACAATAAGCACAATAAATAGTGGTAAAAATTTAAGGTTTTTTAATAAGTTGAAGGTGAAAAATAATATAAATAAGAAAGATAGAACTGTGTAATGATAATACTAATATTAATAGAATTGGTAATGCACCTTTCAGCCAATAAAAATGCAGCTTAAAGTGCTTAACAAACGTCCTGGGAGAGGGATCCCTCACATGTGGCTCTCTCTGAGGTTTCTACCTTCTTTTTCCCTGTCAAAGGGCTTTTTCCTTACTCTTGTTGAGGGTTAAGGGCAGCAGCTGTCACAACTTGTTAAAGCCCTATGAGACAAATTGTGATTTGTGAATATGGGCTATACAAATATATTTGGATTGATCGATTTCCATACAGATGATATAGATGGAAATAAAAACATGTGAAAATGTAATTCAAAATAAAAAGACATATATTACATATATTATATATTTTAAGAAACACAAAACCATGCTGACATGAAATTTAGCAGAAAGGGAAATAAAAAGAATAAGACACAAATTATTTAAATAAATGCATAAAAACAGAAAACAGAGAAAGTGATAAAATAACATATTAGAGCAGGAGTGCAGGCAAGTGCAAGATCTAGTTAAAGGCTGAAGTAAAAATAAACGTCTTCTTTTAGAGACGTTTACTGAATTAGCTTCTTTCATATCTAGCTTTGGAGCATAATTTACAAAAGCTGCATCTCCGATTTTCTTTCAACTGGTGTTCATAGACTTGCAGATGTTCTCAGTGTTCTAGTGTTCTCATAGTTAAGCAGAGAGTCAGCTATATAACTCGGTCCATTCAGAGCATTGTGTAGAATAATAAAATACAAATAGAATAAAATACAATAATGGTATGAACTTGTAAAATGATTTAGCTAAATGCACTTTTGAATAAAAAAAGTCTTGGTTTTAGAAAACTGTAATGGATGGACTATAAAGCCTACCAAGCAGTTGGTGCAGACACTGTGTCCCAATTCAGGGAATGCACCCACACACAGCATCGCAACAAGGCTCTCCCATTTCGAAGTCTCTCTAAATGTGGCCGAAAAATGCATCCTTCCATCCACTATGATTCCCGGCCCAAACCTATCCCAGGATTCATTGCACTTCAGTGACAATCCATTTTGGAGGTAAGTAACGACTTGTCTGATGCTCGAGTATTAGACTTCAATTCAACTAAACAGCTAACAATACAGATGTAAAAAAAAAAAAAAAAACCAGGGGGACATTAAAACTTTCTCGTCATGTCTAATGTCAGCTGTGTTGCTAAGTGACAGCAATGAGAGTGTGACGAAACCAGACCGTCTCATTGAAGTTCTGCCTAAGTGGATGCAGCCCCTTCTTAATGACACAGCTTAAAAGCTGCTTTCCCTTGCCCTGGGTACCACTAGCAAACCACTTCCTCCCTAATGGGCTCTGAGGTCTCGCAGGGTTACACAAGCAAAACTGTATCCATAGGGTGCCCATGCAACAAAAGTAAAAAAAGTTTGAATATATTTATATTCAATGTCAGTTCTCAGAACTGAAGAAGCCTCTTGGATGAGAAGTGAAACGTCCTCAAAAAACATAAGCAAGTCCCGTTTCCTATCTACAAGATACCATGTCCTGGATTACTGAGAATCTTTACAGATATGTTTGAACAATATTTAAGGCTTTACAAATTTTGAATGATTTTTTTGCTTTACCATTCTTCCATCCATGTAATGTTTCAACATAATGTCAGATAAAACAAATAGTCCCGGTTTCATTTGTAAAACACACAATTTACATCAAAATCCTCTAGTCACATCTAGAATTCCAGAAAAACTGGGCATAAGGAGTTGTGGACCCCTTTGCAAATGTACCCAAGCTGACTATGGTAATAGTTTTTGTCTTTGTTGCACACAACATCTAATGTAAGGTTATATTTAAACTGTGGATGTTGTGTCCTGAAACAAACGGAACAGAAGTGAGAGAAGTATGATAGAAACAGGAACACAACTGTGAACTTCACTTCCCCTATGTGCAGGGGCGGATCTTTCTTCTTACTGTTGGGGGGGTAAACAGAGACATTTCTCAAGAGCAATTCCTTTAAATCACTGAGAAGACACTACAGGATGTCTAAATGACTGAAATTGTCTGGCTCACAGATTCAGCAGGAAATTCTCACGATGCTGAGGTCAGCTAAATATTCTCCATAAGCTTAGATTGGACTCCTGATGTGAGTTGAACAGAACAGATGACCATGATTGTACGCTTTGTTACAAAACAGGGAGGAATTGTGGAGATTTCTTGGAATTCACAGAGACAACTGATTGTACGGGTGCCTGTATGACTGAGGTTCTTATTAAGAGACTTAGGGAGCTGGATATTGACATTATGGATATGAGAGGTCAATGTTATGACAATGGATCAAATATGAGAGGCAAACATAGTGGTGTGCAAAAAAGAGTGGGAGACATAGACCCAAGAGCATTAACCTGGTGGTTAATGATGCAGCCTCATGTTGTCTGCAGGCAGTGGATTTCTTCACAACATTCCAGGAGGTTTATAACTTCTTTTCTGCTTCCACCTCTCGCTGAGACGTGTTATAACAGCACATAGGTGAGTGTGGCTTCACAGTCAAGCTGTCACTAGATGGAAAAGTTGGGTGGTTGCGCTCAATCCTGTGCGACACCAGTTAGAGGATGTATATGATGCGATGCTGTCAAGGCACAAGATGAAAGTCTAACTGGCATGTATGGAGCTAAAACTAGATGTGAAGCCAGAGGCATTGCAGCTAAAATTAAAAACTACCCATTCCTGTGCTCCATCATAACATTGTACGACATTTTTATTCAGATAAATATTACCAGCAAAACACAACAGACAATGAGTAATGATGTATTTCATGCAGTGGCACAGCAGAACGTGTTGAAACAATTCCTGCTGGACTATCGCACAGACACCAATTTTAATAAGTGCTGTCCAATTGCAAGATCACTTGCACAGGATTTGGAGGCCTGCTTTTCTCCACAAAGTGCAGTGCGACCACGGAAGAGAAAAACAAATTTTCATTACCAAGGAGACGACGAAGCAGTGACGGATCTATAACATGATTATAGAGTATTTTTTCTTTAACTGAGTACTGGACTGCACTGGACTGCATCAATGCTAAGGAGAAGCACGGGGACGTATTTGGAGTGTTGTAGGACATTCCCATCAAGGAGAGAAACACTGCAGATGTTGTCCAACAATGCAGAGAAGTGGAAAAAGCCCTGTTAAAAAAGATGTTGATGGGCAAGAACATTTTACGGAGTTGACAGTTTTGAGTAGACGTCTAGCAGCTGGAACTAAACCACAAGACGCACTCAAGTTCACCTGTGACAATGGGATGGATTCACTTTTTCCAAATGCTTTTATAGCATTACAAGTGCTTCTCACACTTCCCGTTTCAGTTGAGTCAGGAGAATGCAGTTTGAAACAAGACAGATTTAATGGACTGGTAACGATCTCTATAGAACATGAACTGGCACAGAGAATTTAAATTCAGGATGCAGTTGAGACCTTTAGTACGGTGAAGGCCCGCCGTGTACACTTCTGAAACGTAAGCTTTATTTGCTCTGTTTAAGTTTCTGATGAAATTTGCTTGTGTGTGTCTAATGCACATAACAAAGTGGTGTATATGAGAGATTTGCATGGGTATTATTTAGTTTGAGATGAGTATAGTGGATCATTTGGAAAACAGTTATATGTGCTATTGGTGAAGATAAGGACTGTATGTGGGGAAGTGATTAGCCGATTCTGCTTCCAGCTTCGCTTCAGGGTTATCTGTTAGAACAGACTCAGACGACTTCTCTCTCTTTAAGATAATTTAATTAGCAACAGTACAAGAACATATAACTATAACAGGCTGGGCGATGTATGTGATGACTCCTAGGATGAGTGGTGGTGTGTTGGCGTGGTGTGCGTGGTTAGGTCTCAAGGACGCACGCACACAACATACAGCAGTCTCTGGGTGACAGACATCTGTCTCTCTCTTCTTGTCTGTCTCTTCTCTGTCTCTCTGTTCCTACCCTTCAAGTGTCGCTCCTGATTCACACGCTGCTCGTACTCCTCTCCTCAATGCGTGTTCCCGCTACAGGTGTGTAGTGCGCGCTCTGTGCACACTCTCTGCTGATAGACAGCCTTTGTACATGTGCTGTCAGAATGCATATTGCGTCATGCATAATACTGTTGGCACTTTGAAAACACTAGCGTTGCACTAGCACTTTATGTGAATGGCATGTTGGCGTGTGTGTGTTGTTGCTGGTATGGCACCTTGCAATAAGAATGATGTTCCCCTAGAGCGGCAGAAGAGCACGCGCCGGTCCTGCCAGCACCCCCTCTGCAGTATGCCCGTCTCCCAGCCGCTCTTGCTTGTTGTGTCTCGGGCCACAGCGCTGCTCGCGTTTCCCTGTCAGCCTTGCAGAGATCTGCTATGAAGGAGATGCTTAGCTCTTTACTCCACCTCATCTCTCTCTTCTCTCCCCTGCTTTCCACCCATCTCTCCTTTCCTCCCCCCTTACTTTTCTTTCCTCACCCCAACCGGTCGAGGCAGATGACCGCCCACATTGAGCCTGGTTCTGCCAGAGGTTTCTCCCTGTTAATGAGGGAGTTTTTCCTCTCCACAGTCGCCTGTGCTTGCTCATTGTGGGAACTGTTGGGTTTCTCTATGTTAATATTGTCTTAAGGTCTTGACCTTTAAATGTAAAGTGCCTTGAGATAATGTAAATTATGAATTGGCGCTATATAAATAAAATTGAATTGAATTGAATTTACTGACACTGGATCCGTGGTCATTTTTCCCAGCGCGTCTCTGGGTGTTCTCTGGGTGAATTGGAAGGTGACAAGCATTATTTAGTTTTCCTGTTTTGTCGTGCACAGAATCCGAAATGTGATTGGTTTTAAGGACCACGATGGGGAGATTTTCACCAGCAAGTTAGCAACCACAGTCTTAGTGAGTGTTTTCTTGCCCGGATCCTGAGATCCCAACGTTTGTACATTCCAGGTCCAGGACCCGCTCCCTTAGCTCAGTGTTGTCTTTCATTGATGCCGCTACTTCTCCCACTGTGGTTTGACCTTCATGATGGACAACAGTGAAAGTGTCTGGATCTGAATCACGTGTTATTTGTTTTACGTTAAAAGACAATTCCACCATATTAAATTAATAGCAAAGTTAGCGTTAGATAATTGAAGTATGAGTAGGTATCTTTGATAGTAAATACATTACAGTTAGCTATCTGATAGTTTATTATAAACATCTGTGCACATGTTTAATGAAACCGTAGCGCCATGCGACGTGTAGGTGTGTTTACTCGATGACCATGATGTTAATTCTAGTCAGCACAGTAATCAAACTGATAACGCAAGTCTTTGCATTTTTAATAGTCTATTATTATTATATTACCTTTCCCGCAGATGATTAAAAAATTAAGCTCTTTCCAGGACAGAAGATTAACAGCTTTTTTGGTGCTGTATTAGTATTAGAGGGAAAAGTTATGTTTGTGAAATGATCTCCAAATGTTCAGTTTTAACAATTATGCTCTGCTTTAAAACAAATGCCTATTTGATTGGATTTCAAATAAAGAAAAAAGAAAAATAAGTGTTGTATGTACCTTTTTGTACTACAATTCTTGTATTTTTGTATCTTTTTTCAATGTGTGCTTGTTTTTGTTTACAATTTAAAGTGAAAAATATATCTAAATCTTAATTTGCCCCCAGAGTTCTTCTCTCCAACTTTTAAAATATCTGGTTGAGATCTAGAGACTGAAAAGGCTATAGGATATGATTCCATCTTTAATTTACTTGATGATTAACTTATTCTGATTACACAAATCATCAACGTGCAACTCTCAGAAACAAAGACGATAAGTAGCATTTGGGTGGAATAAACCTTTAAAAGCACATGTCATCCACTTCCCTAGATGGCGCTGTTTTCAAAAAACAAGGGTGCTGGAACTGCGGTCCTGAAACTGCAGCCTCCCGGTCTGCAGGAATCTAATGTTGGTATTCTTCTCATAATGCGTTTAAATGCCTTTAATTGTGTTCGGGGGTCGTAAAGACGTCACGCCCTGTCTCCTGGCTGGTGGGGTGGGGGGGTTCTGCAGCACGTGTTTTCAGACAGTGACAGAAATGATCGATAAAATCTGATCCCTTTAACGGTTACCATAAAGGTCTGAATACGGGCGCACCCCAGGTTCGGGGCCGCTGGGTTGACTACGGAGATCCAAACAGCGGCTGGTAACAGAGGTAAACCACAACATCGTCGAGCGGAGGAGGTGGGAGAAAAAGTTTGCTTTACTTTGCTGCGGGATTGTCCCTGAGTTAGATCCAGGTGCGGTTCTGTCGTTGTGTTTTTCTTGACTCATCACTGAGCTAACATCGCTCGTGTAGCTAGCTGAGCTCAACATGAGGTAGCAGACGCTGAACACACGTTTGCCTACAGACTTTGAACGATCGCGCTCGTCCAAGTTATATTAAACGAGCGTCTTTTGAACTCAACTTTATCCGATCGGATGTGGGGCTTTGTTGTAACAGGACGGAGCACATGGCTTTAACGGCATTCTGATGCATTAGGTACAGAAGTCGGTGGAGACCTTTAAAGGACACGAGTTCGCGCTGAGGGTTGTGATTAACATGAGGTTGACTGCAACTCTGAACACGAACTCTTATTGTATATTGCATTGACTGAGCAGAGTCTGGCTTGTTTAGTGTCTTTATCTCTTTTCAGTGTAATTTACCATAATGGTGAACCAGGTTCGGCAAGTGGACGGTACTCTGCAGCCATGTAAGAGCGACTCTAGCGGAGCCAGCAACAGTAGCGGGGAGAGCTCCAAGGAGAGTTCCCGGTGCTCCACGCCTTCGCTGGACGCCGACCGGTCGGACAGGCTGCGGGACAAGATGCGGAGGAGGATGGAGTCCGGAGACCACTGGTTCTCGCTGGAATTCTTTCCTCCTCGCACAGCCAGTGGAGCCGTCAACCTCATCTCAAGGCATGTGAGATCAAGCTGGAATGAATACAGTATTGTATATGATAAAGATGAAGTGGTTAGATTCATCACAGCCCAAACACAAAGACACAAAAGTGTCCAAAGAATTTAGTGATAAAGGTAACTTGTTAGTAACTGCTCTAACAGAGCAAACTATGTCAAGTTCAGATGTAGAATATACAATAGGTTCTTTCTAATAAGTGCAGTGAAACAGCTTAATTTGCACAGAAACCCATTTGGATTTCCTAAATAACATTTTTACTAACCCCTCAGGAATTGCGTATCATAACCAAACAGCTGGATCAATTCTTTTGTACGTGTCATCATATTTCAGATTTGACCGAATGGGTTCTGGTGGCCCCCTGTTCATCGACATAACCTGGCACCCAGCAGGGGATCCAGGCTCAGACAAGGAAACTTCATCCATGATGATTGCTAGCACAGCAGTCAACTATTGTGGCCTGGAGAGCATCCTCCACCTGACTTGCTGCAATCAGACCAAAGAGAAGATTACTGGTTACCTGGCCAAAGCTAAGCACTTGGGCCTCAAGAACATCATGGCACTCAGAGGAGGTAGGGGAGGTGACATTTGTTTACCTGTTATATAAAAAGACTGGCTCCTTCTGTTAAGTGATTCCAAGTGGTTAGGAAAATGCAGTTATTGGATTTAACTCTAGTTCTAGGAGTATGTGCTTCTGTCCTATGATGTTCCACCTCTGCACCCTGAGAGAGACCTTTGCCTTCACTGACCAGTCAAAGGGTAGCAACGATCATGGAGCCCCCTTTAAAACACTGTGGCTTGTGATGCAACACCATCTGAAATGCTCTGCTGCTCAAAAACATCAAGAGAAAACTTAAATCACAACAAATTATCCAAGTTGAAAATCTTTACAGCTGTACATTGTATAATTTGTACAAAACAAATGATGTAACAACGGTCCATGGAAACCAAAATCATCAATCCATTGAGGACTGGATTCAAAACCAAAATCTGGTCTTACTGCTGGGTTGATGACCTTCTCCCTGTGTAATTGCCAGCCTCCTGGTATCTCCTCCATGCTCTTGAGATTGTGCTGGAAGACACAACAAACCTTGCGACCGCATGTATGGATGTGCCTTCCTGGAGAAGCTGGACTACCTATGCAACCCGATCAGGCTGCAGATACTGCCTCATGCTACCAGTAGTGACAAGGACAGAAGCAGAAGACAAAACTAAAGAAGAATCAGTCAGCAAGGATAAAGAGAGAGCAGCTGTCTGTGGCCAGCACATGTAAAACCATTCTCTTGTGGGTGTTATCTTGCATTTGCCTCTCCATTGCAGCTGTTGTCACTTTCATTTGCAACAAAGCAGGAGAAATTGATTCACAATCACTTTTGCTTCCTAAATGGACAGAGTGATATCCCTGAAGATTTACTGACTTGGTGTTATATGATTTAATGTTCCCTTCATTTTTTGGAGCACTGTATACAATCAAAATACAAAAATACTCTTCAAAATTGATTCCAACAGACAATCATCATGGCTAACAATGGATGCCAGCAGCAGGGTGCAGCTCAGGCAGGTCATCATTCTTTGCATGCTACAACATGAGTGAAATGATGAATAGAAGAGTCATACCGGCTCTGACGTTAACAATTTCCGAAGGTCCGTGCCAGGGGTCGGTTTCTCGACCAGAGGTCTTTGTCAGTGATGTGTTAAGTAGCTTTTTAAGCTAACTGAGACACAACTACTAGCTCAGTGCGCTAATGTCTGCAAAAGCAAGCTGCTATCATAGCTAGAGCATAGTGGGGTTCAACCCATGATTCTACGGCAAGGGGGAGTTAGGACGACAGATCAGAGGGGAGATATCATCATCCCCACACCCTGAAATTGACTTCTACCCCCAATTAATGCTTTTTTTGTGTGCAATAATTCAATGTTCACCACTCAAGCACCTTATCGATATTACCACTGTTACTCTGTGTAATAATCCAACCACTGTGAGAGGATTTTTCAAACTTGCAATTAGGGCTGGGCGATAAAACGATATCGATTATATTGCGATATAAGTTTTACTGGATAGAAATTCAAGACACGTCGATAGAGCTCATCCATGTTGTGACAGACAACATCTACAGCCAATGATAATGAGCGCCATGCTGAACCAGTCGCGTGGCTGGAATAGAGTTACGCCCACATCAAGTTAGGTTGATGTACACAGCAGAGTGTAGTAGGAGCAGCGCAGGTTTTATTATTTGGGCTCCTGTGCAGAGGACGACGACTCTGAATCGATGCAGTAACTGGACATAAAGATTCATGTTTTCGTTACATTCATAGTTTCAGCGGGTTTCCACCACTGAATCATTATGACACTGCTGCTTCAGGACAGACATTCAAGGTCCTGTCATCCTGTGTCAGAGCCTCTGTTGGAGCTTTCTCCTCGCTCCTCCTCTGATGTGCACTCACTTTACACTTTAACAATAAACACCAGCACTGATCAGTTATTAGGACATTTTAGTTTTATAAGAGTTTATGAGATATGTGTTTAAATCTGCTTCACAACACGAGATGTGACATGATGCACACAGTCAGGACAATCAGGATTACGATCAGGGGTAATTATCCAACATCATCGACTAATAACTGTTTTAGAATATAGGTTAGATTGTGATTATCAATTACTCAAATTTCAGATTATTAGTTCCTGTGTGATGAGGGACACACACACACACACTCACTCCTGCAGAAAGTTCTTCCAGCAGATTATGATGTGTTTTAACTTCTTTGTTGCAGAAGAAGCGACGCCCTGTTTATCCAGGAACATAAATATGAATTCAGCAGGTTTTTATAAAGATCAGTTGAAGTGTGATGATTAGAAAACATCAGAGGAGCAGAGTCACTTGTTGACCAGCGGAGTAATGCGCCTCAGTGAAGTGGTGCTGATTTAAGGTAAGATAAGATTAAAATGTATTGATCCACACACCGGGGAAATTCAGTGGTTACAGCAGCAGGCAGGTCAGAATGAGGTAGACAAGAGAATAATATATAAAAAGGCAATAAAAATAATTAAATAATAAAAAATGAGTATTTACATTTTATACACCTTTTCACTGTTGTGGTTTATATGAAATGTTATAAGTAAAGTGCAGTGGCACAGGATGATTGTAGGAGCAAGTAAAATCAGTTTTTTCAATAAGAAACAATGTTTGTACATACGAAGAACATTGTTCATTAAGATAAAAGTGCAAAACATTTATTTTCTGGTTATTTTATTTATATCGTGATGTATATCGATATCGACTGATATGAAAAAAATATCGTGATTTTTTTTTTCAATATCGCCAACTCTACTAAAAAAAATGTCTATGGCTTAGTTTTTCTTAGGTCTCATCTGTTATGTCTATTTTTGTTGTGTTTAGTTAATTGCCTTTTATATTTGCACATGGAGCTGGGAGAAACGCAATTTCCTTATGCTGTGCACTTGTTGTATGGTCTGAATGACAATAAAGTTTACTTTGAAATTGTATGTGGTGTGTGTGTGTGTGTATGCATGTATGTATCTTTTGTGTTTTACTAATTTAAGATATGTATATTCATGATATCTCCACAGACCCAGTGGGAGCAGACTGGGAAGAAGAGGAGGAAGGCTTCAACTATGCCGTCGACCTGGTCAAACATATCCGTTCAGAGTTTGACGACTACTTTGACATTTGTGTTGCTGGTATGTTTTCAGCCTTCTGTTTTCAGCCTTCTGAAAAATAGTAGATACTAAAAAGTGGTATTGTTAAGTGATTTTATATTTAAAAATGCTGCTGTGTCCAGGCTACCCCACAGGCCACCCAGAAGCAGAGAGCTATGAGGAGGATCTTAGACACCTTAAGGAGAAGGTCGATGCTGGAGCCGACTTTATAATTACTCAGCTTTTCTTCAGGGCAGACACTTTCCTCAAGTTTCTGGATGACTGCAGAGCAATTGGTATCATGTGTCCGATCCTACCTGGAATATTCCCCATTCAGGTATCTCACTGTTCTTTCCAGGAACCAGAATACTGTTATCATCATCGTCATCATCATCATGCATAACAGGTCTATCACAGTTAAATTGCCATTGAGATTCAAGCATTTTAAACTAAATATACTAGAAACTAAGATAATACAATTTGTATTACTCTAGTCCATTTATTGTTTAAAGAGGTGGTCTGGAACACATTGAGTCTGGTTCTAGAGGTTTCTTCCAATTAATGAGTCACAAAGTGCTTGCTCATTGTGGGAACTGTTGGGTTTCTCTATAATTTTGAATGTCCCAACCTTAATTGTAAAGATCCTTGAAATAATGTATACTGTGATCTAGCACTATACAAATAGAATTCAATTGAACATGGAAACATTCTTTTGGCTATGTTCATACAAATGCATCCTGGGTCATATTAAAGGACAGTCTACTTAGCTGATGTCCTCTCATTTGCTTCTATTTCACAATATAAGCATGAGCAGGCCACAATCTGGGGTAGGCCCACAATTAGATCCATGCCTCTTTGCATATAGGCACCACACAGGCACTGAGGCTGCAATTGATTCTTGTGATTGCCACATGAAGATGCATTCAGCAGGCTGATGTGCACCGGGTTCACAGAGGGCACAGATGTGCCTGCTGGGATCTGTTTGCTTGTTACAGGAACGAATGCAGCAAAACTAATATTTACTCATATAACAAATCCTGCCTGCCTACCGAGGAGCTCAAACTTTATCAATGTTTTGAGGGGCCACTGGTCCATCCACGTGGTACGACTTATCACACTGCTGATGGACAGTTCGACTATTACAAATTATTCAATATGTTTAAAAGAGAGAGAGGGCGATGCACACTGCTCTACAATCGAGTAATGGTGCAAAGTCTTTAATTTTAGGTCAGATTTTTTAGGCTGATCGACGTTCCTTAGTAGTATCAGCCAATACCCATCACGGGGTCTATTGCCCTATTTACGCCTGATTAACATGCGTCTTGGGTGATCTAAGTGAACACTTACATTAGAATTTCTCATCCCAGCTCTAAAAAAATGATAAGTCATCTAAATTCCTTCTCATCTCTGTTGAAACACTACAGAGCTGAATCCTACTCAGAATTTTGTTAGTAAATGTCCATTATTATTTAGGTTTTCTTTTTTATTTAATTGGACTATATAAGCAGGACACACTTTCTCTGAGTGGAAATCTGATGTTTGCACATCACGGATAGATGACAAAGAAAGGCATTAATAACAGCGAAATGAGAAAAACGGGTACGACCTGTTCGCACCATGCAGCGTCTGTCCTGCCGGGCTTTGACAGGTTCTCAATCTGTACAACCCGATCAGACAGACCACTCCTGATAGAATCCCCTGCTCTATATGCAAATAAACACGTACATCACCCTGTTTGTAAAGACGAAATGCGTTACATTTTAACCGACCACAACACAAACATTTTTTATATAGTTTCTCTTCACTCAGCAACTCTCAAAAGTGCGCGATTGTAAAAGGAGTCTGTTTTTGCTCTAACATATCATACACCTTGTAAAACTGCCAGACCAGCAGAGCCCATGAGGCGGTTCTCATTGTCATGTTCCTGCACATGTGCAACTCTCAACAAAGAGGAGAAGAGAAGCAAGATGCCTCACTCGTTAGCCCATTCTACCATCAGCTCAAAAAAAAAAAGAAGAAAAGTAGTCATCAGATTACTACTTGAGTTAGAAAACACAACTATTAACTGCAAAAAAATTATGAGTGAGCCATCTCAATTTCGTCTCATCTCTGTACATGAGTGACAGTCGTTTGTTTTGACTCATCTGATTGGATCCTCTGATCAACGTTTACAGGGATCGCTCTTAAAACTAATTAAAGGAAATATTGTTTGATACCAATCGGTGGCCAATCAAACGGAGCATCCTAACTTTTATGTTAACATGAGAAATTTGATCATTGTGAAATTGTAGCAGAACAAATTAGACTACCTAACAATCAAAGTATTTAATGCAAAACACTTCCCCTCCAGGGCTGCATTGATTGAAGATGGACTGAAACAAATTCCTTATCTTCTGCCAATCTTTGTATCTCTGTGTCTCTCATAAAGAAATGTATTATCTCTATTATAATATTCTTTTGAACAGCTCAGGATAAGATGGATTTTAACTTGCTTTTCCCTAGGGTTACCAGTCCCTGCGTCAGCTAGTCAAGCTGTCAAAACTTGAGGTACCAGAGGAGATCACCAAAGTCATCGAGCCCATCAAAGACAATGATGCTGCTATACGCAACTATGGAATCCAACAGGCCATAGAGATGTGCCGTGTGCTGCTGGACAGTGGCAAGGTACCAGGCCTTCATTTCTACACACTGAATCGAGAGGTCGCCACCATGGAGGTGCTCCGCCAGCTGGGCCTGTGGATAGAAGACCCAAGGTCAGTTATCCCCATGCCTGCTAACAGTATGTTGGTAATTATAGCCATAGGCAGTAGTCAGGCAAGAAATAGTTGCTTCTTTTACTTCAGTTAACACGTTAGTCCGCTAGAAATGCATTCAACGAGATGCTACCTCTGCACATGCAGTCGTACATATTCAACATTTAAAAATTAAGAATTTAAAGTTCAGGGGGGGTGTATTTGCATTAATTGCAATAATTCCTGGGACAAAATATCAAAAACAATGTTTTTATCGTGACAGGCTTATTTGTTGAAATGTTGTCATCAAGTGCATTTCTTGTTAGTTTGTTATGATTATATATAAATAAAACATGATAGACAGAAAAAAAAATTCACAGCACTCCTCTGCATATCCGTTCCAGAAAATAAATGTTAAAAGTTACATGGTATGTGATTATTCATTGTAATGGGTTTTTCGTCAGAAAAAAACAAGTACACAAATATTAGTAACACATTATATTATATATTTATTTATTTATATATTACTTTTTGTAGAGATTTGTAACAACCTTTTTACTTTTGCTTTTATTTTGTTACTGTATTTTCCCTTTATTTAATTTGTTTGCATTTCCGTTTATATCCTAGTCTTGGGTTTTTTTTTTTTTTTTTACAACTTTATTTATCATTTTTCCATATCGAAGTACATTGCCATCATTAATTAAGCATTTCTTACAAAAGTTATGTACCCTCCCCCCGCCCCCCACCCTATCCAGGTGGCATCCCCACAAACACATCCAGAAAAACACTCACGTATCAAACAGGCAAACAAAGCACCAAAAGAAGAAAACAATTATAAACAAATACAAAAAACAGACATACAAGACAAAAACAAACAAACAAAAGACTCAAACCAATCTGTGTTGATCATTATGGTCATAACACCAACATTCTGGACTCAGAAAGAAAGAAGGAAAAATAAATATATAATACATAAAAACAAGGAGTTAGGCAAAAGGCAAGCTCTTGATATGAGTTATGAACTGTGACCAAGTTCTGTCATATTTATCCTCCAACCCGTGTACTGTATACCTAATTTTTTGCAAAGCCAATCCCAACATTATCTCTCTAATCCAATGAACATAGGCAGGAGGAATCTTCCCCTTCCAATTCAGCAGTATCAGACGACGGGCATGCAACAATGCAAAGGCCATTTTGTGCATTTTTTTTGCATTTTTGTGGAGACGGGACAACTTTAGCTCATCCCTAACTACACCGAAGATAGCTATCAAAGGGTCAGGCTGCAGTGTTTTGCCAGATATTGCTGAGAGWYARTGGAAAACTGAAGACCAGAAGCCATACAATGATGMACATGACCAAAACATGTGTCCCAAAGAAACAGGAGAATATTGACATCTAGGACAGTTTGGTGAAACATTAGGGTATAATTTAGACAGTCTGTCATTATAATAATGCAACCTGTGGACAACCTTAAACTCAATCTAGCCATGTCTGATACAGAAAGAAGAGGTGTGTATACGCTGTATGGTATTTTTCCAGGTAACTTCTGGTATTATTTCTCCAACCTCTCCTTCCCATGCTGCCTTGATTTTGTCCCACGTATAAGGGCAGCTATCCAGAATTAATGCATATATTTTAGATCTTGCTCTTTTATTGAGTGGATTTACATTAAGGGCTGAATACAGTAAATCTTTAACGGGTGGAGATGGATACCCTGGGAAAAATTTAGAGGTAAAACTTCGAACCTGAAGATATCTGAAATAACGAGACTTTGGTAAATTATAGACATCAAGATGGCGCCGCGGATGGTTGCCTCGGTGTGTTGGTGCACGTTGTTTTGTTTTATTTTGTGTTTTAATTCTGTTTTTTGCGATGGTACCCGGAGCTCCTTCACTACACAAGAGCTCATGAACATCAGGGTTACAACACCAGAGGATTTATTTCACTGTTACACCACAGTCAGGGATGCTTATCACGCCGTCCCCCGTGCTGCACTGGGACACTCTGACCACGTCATTGTCCACCTGATTCCTGCATACAGACAGAAACTAAAGCTCTGCAGACCTGTAGTGAGGACATCAAGGAAGTGGACCAGTGAGGCTGTGGAGGATCTCCAGGCGTGTTTGGACTCTACTGAC